GCAAGGGCCAATATTTTGTTTTACAGGATTTTTTTTAGAAACTGTAACTGCTAGTTTGGCTGCCGTCCTTACGACTCTACGTAGTAATGCTTACTCGGATTGCTAACGCAAAGCATATTGCTGATGTGAGCTTCCCGAGAGTCTAAGTGAACAATTATCCTATTTCTCTTAGTGGTTAGCCAGACCCTTAGTGACTGAATAATACTGCTGTCTTAATCTGTAGTTTTTGATTGACGTTTCAGACCTTGAATTTTTTGAAGAAATCTGGTCCTTTAATACGTGAAGCCATTCATGATAGCTGCAAGAGGTGTCTTGCAGCTGGCTGGCTGTCTCCCAGGCCAGCTGATGTCCAGCCACCCAGTTTGGGTCAGGTGAGTGCCTATGAGGGAATCAAGGGGGAAATACATCCATCTTGCCTGACAGGGCTGTAGAGGCACAAGACGTGGTAACCTGATGTTCCCATTATTTGCGAGTTGCACTGAGCTGCAGGTGTTGGCTTTAGTCAGCAGAAGTGATAGTACTCTTAGATCCAAACTAGGGAGTTTGACGGGGAACAGCCCTGATAGGCCTGTCTCTAGAGACCCGTCTATAAATTCTGTGCCACAGATACGCGCAAGGAAGCGTGCAGGCCGTGCTGGTCATGCACAACACAAAGCATCTTTGCCTCAGACCCCCCGTGGCCCCCGTCGGTGTCTCCGAGCGTTGGGCTCAGTGCAGCAGCTGACGACGGGGGGGTCTCACTGGGATGCGAGCTGTTGCAAACATCAGCTGGCTGCACCAGACATGATCACCTGCTCCCAAGGAAGTGGGCTGTGGTAAACAATTACTGCTGCCAGCTCCAGTACAGCCGGCACGTCGTCCCGTAACTTCATGAATGACTTGCTGCTGTTCTGTGCAGTGCACTCGCTGTAATTAGTTAACTGCTTTACGCTTTTTATTCATCAGAATGATCGCCATCCTCGCTTCAGAGAGGGGGCATGTGCCAGAAAGTCTGAATTACGCCCATATCGGAAGATCCTTCCTAGAGTTCAAAGGCAGCTGGCTGCAGAGAGAGCCAGGCCTTACCATTTGCCTTCGTCGGCCTTAAGAGGAGGTAATTTTTAGCGCGGGGAATACAGCGGTCAAGAAACGCTCACTTTGATAACACAAGGCTGATAGGTTTTCCCTTGTGCTTTACAGTTGCGAGACCAAAGCCAGTATCAAGATCAACAAAACCAGCCAATCAGGATATTGGGTATCATAGCAACTTTCATGAGTAATGTGTTATCCAGAATTGGAGCAGCATGGGCAGGAAATGAGCAGAAAACCATTTCCTCACGATATGATAGGTAAGCAGCCTTTTCACAAAGTTCAGTTTTGAGCTACGTGTGTGGAGAGGAATAGCGAAAAATCCATTTGGATTATGTTAGTATTCTGGAAGGAAGGTGTACCTGAATAAACTTTGATTGGCTTTTTTGTAATCAGTTCATCCAAAGTAATATTTGGAGAGAGACTTTTTCGGCTATGATAATCTTATTTAGGCCAAGACCTATACTGACACGATGGTAAATGTGTTTTCAAGAATTTAAGACAGCTGAAACTAGAACTGTGGTTGCCACCAAGCTCTCGGTGTACTGCTTTTGAGACACTTGGTTATGTGGCCAAACAGGGATCTTTGACCGCTTCCTGCCCAGTGTCTGCTTCGTTTCTGCCTTTCCTTCTTAACATCGGGCGGAATTGTAACGAGCGGAAAAGAGGCTGGTGGTTGTCAGATGATTTTCCTTCAGGGGCGATGGTCAAATAAACCTGAATTCCGGTATGTTTGGACTTCAGGGGAGTGAAAGTCAGTTACCTTTCCCTGTTTGTTCTAGTGCTAGAGTTGCAGAGCCACCAGCCGTACCTCGTCCTCTCCCTGAGGCAGAGTTGCGCAGTGCGGTTGTTGGGACACTGGTCACAAGATTTTCACAAAAATCTTCCAAGTATAGTAGATCTAGAGAGTGAATATTTCAAAATGGTGTTGCTTTTCTTATGTCTGTGTATATGTATGTGTGTGTGTGCGTGTGTATATACTTTCTGTGTTTGCAAAGTGCTCTGTTTGCATTTAGTTTTGTATCTGGTAAAGAAAAGGGCAATTTAAGGACACAACTCGGTGGAGAATTTGAAGTGGTCCCAGCATTGAAATGCAGGTGAATTTCTCTTTGACGTGAGAATTACATCCCTTGGTCAACTTAAAATGGGATTTCTCTTCCCTAAGAGGCAGTGATTTAGGAAATCAAGCTTGAAATGTACAGAAGTAACTAAGAAAAAAGGAAAAGGCGGTAACTTGTGCGTGGACCTGATACACCCCCCCAACAGTGAGGGCTCACCTCTATTCTCGTTCCTTGAATGTCTTTCTTACATCTCATCTCAAGATTTCTTGAACGCCGCGTGATTTTCTTCCTTAGTTTATTTATGTTCATATTTTAAATTGGGTATCTTAACAGGTTGCTGGGTTTGGTGGAGTCCTGTCCCTTCATGTTCTGCAGCACAGGTGGTAGCTGGCAGTCACCATTGTTACAAAAGAATTCTTCAAGAACACCAGAGTTCAATTTGCTACAGACTCCTCTTGTGGTTAAGGTTTGTATTTGGAAAAACAGTAAGAACCGACCAAACAAATGGCCTGTAAACTTTGTTTAAAATGAAACCACCAAAATGTTTGACACAAACACTGCTGGATTCAAACTGTGTCAAATTTTCAGAGCATGTGGGGTGGTTGTACATACAGTCCTTTTGGAAGCAGGAAGTTGGGAAAAGCCTTGAAGAGGGCAAGTTTAGTTCTAAGCTAATTGCAGTAGGCACGTTGTCCCATAACTTCATGAACTGTGCAGAACAAAGGAAGTTAAAATTGGGCTTTTCAATATGCTTAGACCCTTAAAGATGCAGTTTGTGGCTTAACCATCTCGTTATGCAAGCGCTCAGCAGCTCTGCACAGTTTGACTTGCATAGCCACCAGCAAGAACGTGCATGCTTCAGTTTCTTAATCCGGTGAAGTGAGTGACAGCTAAGTGATGTCCGTTAAGGGATGTCAGTCTCTGTCCAACTCAGTGATGGCTTTTGGCAGCAATTGTACTGGTTAATTGTTTGCGCTAAACTGTGTGTCCATTCAGTGCCTTCAAACTCTTCTCCTGTAAGGAAGTAACAACATTTGACCTGTCTTCTTGGTGCGGGTCTCTTTGCCTTTGCCTGCCTGAACAAAGTAGTTGTGATCTCTCTGAATGACAGCCTTTTTCTTCTCATTGAATATTGTCCCTCTCATTGAGCTAGTTTCCTTCTCCCCCTTTCAAACCCTTTCCATACTGTAAATTCTTCTTCCGAGCCGAGGTAAGAAGACCTGGATGCTTCTAGGTGAAGATGTGTAGGTATTTGTACAGCAGCCCCTTAATTTGGTGTAGCGCGCGGATGGATTCATCAGTGAAGCAATAAGCTCTCGCTGTTGCTTTGCTGATTGCCATTTTGCATGGCAGTGTGTTCAGTGGCAGTAGCTGGGGTAACATTTGAAGTGGTACGCCTTTTAGAGAGCAGAGTAGGAATTGCAAAAATTACTGGGAAGGGAGAGAACAATGCAGAAATCAAGACGCCATATCCTTGTTTCCTCAGGAAATTAATTTGAAAAATCACATTTTAGTTGGTGTTGGTGGGAAAAACCAACCAACCAACCAACCAACCAACCAACAATACCAAAAGAAAACCAAAAATCCACAAGATCCTGGGGGGTTTTATCGTTAAGATTTTCATACCTTTGGAGAAAGAGCAGTGCAGAGGTTAACTTTGTCCCTGCCTCTGCAACCTCAGTCTGTAATTGAAACTAATGCTTTGGAGAAGTGGAGTCTTCCGTTTTGAAGGTACGAATTGGTTTTCAATTAAATATTTTCTTTCTTTTCATAGAAAGCTGAAGTTTTGGCCACATCTGCTTCTGGTTTTCCCGGCTTTACTCCTCGGTCTATCCTCAGATCCAGCGTTCGCAGCACACCCCAGGCAACTCCCTCTGCGTTTCCAGGAGAATCAGTTACTCCTCCTCCCAGAGCAAACAACACAGAGTGTCTTTCAAGGAAGGGAACTCAGATGAGAAATGGACTGTTGGGGTAAGCTGGGCTGTAGTTAGTGGATTTTACAGTCAAAGGCTTTCTAGTCTGTTATTTGGTTTAGAATTTTGGACAGTTTGCCAGAACTCCTTATATGAGACCTGGACCTGCGATCAAGAATGGCAGGCTTGAATTTGGTCCAAAAAGGTTCCGCTAGACCTTCTGTAACATCACCCGTCGGCAGGCAGATATTCAAAATGCATGTCGGTGTCCTTGGCGGTTTCGCTCAAGCGTTGTTAGGAGCTGTGGTTGTTCCAAATTGCTAGCTCAGCTTCCCGCGATGCCTTTTCAAGCGGTGGTATGGCAGGAAGGTGAGGAATACAGCTCGAGCCATTGTTTGGGCTTGTTAAGGTTTGTGCATCTGAAAGCAGCAGAAGTCATGAGCTGCATTTACTTTTGATCTCTCTTTCTGCGAGGCTGAGTTTGCTTAACTTACGGTAAAAACAGACTCGGGATGAAGAGAGCTGGTCTGTCGCCTGTTCTCTAGCCCCAAAGTTCTGGGGTTTGCTTCTTGCCTCGCACCGGGCGTAGCATTCATACTGCTGTCAAACGAAGTTGGTCCACCTGCTAGTTGCCCCCTTCTACTCGGCCTTTGGTCCCGTCGGTTGGATTCCCTGACCCAGCTCGTTAGGCAGTTGCGGAAGGACCGTGCCAAGACCAGGGGCAGAACAGGGCCGTGTGCTCGTGTCTACATGTCGGAGCTCTCCGCAGGGTACAAACAAGTTGTCAGGATCTGGTTTTGTTACACCTCTTACTGCCTGTTGTAAGGGGTTCCTCAAAGGTAACAAGAGGCGTATCGGAATAAGGTTCTGCTGAGTGCCAGAACTGTTTTAACTGACAGTTGTCGGTTCTGTTACTGATCTAGTCTGCCTTCCACTTTGCTAAAATTACCGGTGAAGTTGGCGTGTGCTGATGGGTAGAACTTGCTGCTGTTCTGTGCAGTGCACTCGCTGTAATTAGTTAACTGCTTTACGCTTTTTATTCATCAGAATGATCTCCATCCTCGCTTCAGAGAGGGGGCATGTGCCAGAAAGTCTGAATTACGCCCATATCGGAAGATCCTTCCTAGAGTTCAAAGGCAGCTGGCTGCAGAGAGAGCCAGGCCTTACCATTTGCCTTCGTCGGCCTTAAGAGGAGGTAATTTTTAGCGCGGGGAATACAGCGGTCAAGAAACGCTCACTTTGATAACACAAGGCTGATAGGTTTTCCCTTGTGCTTTACAGTTGCGAGACCAAAGCCAGTATCAAGAGCAAGAAAACCAGCCAATTCAGGATATCTGGATATCATAGCAACTTTCATGAGTAATGTGTTATCCAGAATTGGAGCAGCATGGGCAGGAAATGAGCAGAAAACCTTTTCCTCACGATATGATAGGTAAGCAGCCTTTTCACAAAGTTCAGTTTTGAGCTACGTGTGTGGAGAGGAATAGCGAAAAATCCATTTGGATTATGTTAGTATTCTGGAAGGAAGGTGTACCTGAATAAACTTTGATTGGCTTTTTTGTAATCAGTTCATCCAAAGTAATATTTGGAGAGAGAGTTTTTCGGCTATGATAATCTTATTTAGGCCAAGACCTATACTGACACGATGGTAAATGTGTTTTCAAGAATTTAAGACAGCTGAAACTAGAACTGTGGTTGCCACCAAGCTCTCGGTGTACTGCTTTTGAGACACTTGGTTATGTGGCCAAACAGGGATCTTTGACCGCTTCCTGCCCAGTGTCTGCTTCGTTTCTGCCTTTCCTTCTTAACATCGGGCGGAATTGTAACGAGCGGAAAAGAGGCTGGTGGTTGTCAGATGATTTTCCTTCAGGGGCGATGGTCAAATAAACCTGAATTCCGGTATGTTTGGACTTCAGGGGAGTGAAAGTCAGTTACCTTTCCCTGTTTGTTCTAGTGCTAGAGTTGCAGAGCCACCAGCCGTACCTCGTCCTCTCCCTGAGGCAGAGTTGCGCAGTGCGGTTGTTGGGACACTGGTCACAAGATTTTCACAAAAATCTTCCAGGTATAGTAGATCTAGAGAGTGAATATTTCAAAATGGTGTTGCTTTTCTTATGTCTGTGTATATGTATGTGTGTGTGTGCGTGTGTGTATATACTTTCTGTGTTTGCAAAGTGCTCTGTTTGCATTTAGTTTTGTATCTGGTAAAGAAAAGGGCAATTTAAGGACACAACTCGGTGGAGAATTTGAAGTGGTCCCAGCATTGAAATGCAGGTGAATTTCTCTTTGACGTGAGAATTACATCCCTTGGTCAACTTAAAATGGGATTTCTCTTCCCTAAGAGGCAGTGATTTAGGAAATCAAGCTTGAAATGTACAGAAGTAACTAAGAAAAAAGGAAAAGGCGGTAACTTGTGCGTGGACCTGATACATCCCCCCAACAGTGAGGGCTCACCTCTATTTCTCGTTCCTTGAATGTCTTTCTTACATCTCATCTCAAGATTTCTTGAACGCCGCGTGATTTTCTTCCTTAGTTTATTTATGTTCATATTTTAAATTGGGTATCTTAACAGGTTGCTGGGTTTGGTGGATCGTCCTGTCCCTTCATGTTCTGCAGCACAGGGTGGTAGCTGGCAGTCACCATTGTTACAAAAGAATTCTTCAAGAGCACCAGAGTTCAATTTGCTACAGACTCCTCTTGTGGTTAAGGTTTGTATTTGGAAAAACAGTAAGAACCGACCAAACAAATGGCCTGTAAACTTTGTTTAAAATGAAACCACCAAAATGTTTGACACAAACACTGCTGGATTCAAACTGTGTCAAATTTTCAGAGCATGTGGGGTGGTTGTACATACAGTCCTTTTGGAAGCAGGAAGTTGGGAAAAGCCTTGAAGAGGGCAAGTTTAGTTCTAAGCTAATTGCAGTAGGCACGTTGTCCCATAACTTCATGAACTGTGCAGAACAAAGGAAGTTAAAATTGGGCTTTTCAATATGCTTAGACCCTTAAAGATGCAGTTTGTGGCTTAACCATCTCGTTATGCAAGCGCTCAGCAGCTCTGCACAGTTTGACTTGCATAGCCACCAGCAAGAACGTGCATGCTTCAGTTTCTTAATCCGGTGAAGTGAGTGACAGCTAAGTGATGTCCGTTAAGGGATGTCAGTCTCTGTCCAACTCAGTGATGGCTTTTGGCAGCAATTGTACTGGTTAATTGTTTGCGTTAAACTGTGTGTCCATTCAGTGCCTTCAAACTCTTCTCCTGTAAGGAAGTAACAACATTTGACCTGTCTTCTTGGTGCGGGTCTCTTTGCCTTTGCCTGCCTGAACAAAGTAGTTGTGATCTCTCTGAATGACAGCCTTTTTCTTCTCATTGAATATCGTCCCTCTCATTGAGCTAGTTTCCTTCTCCCCCTTTCAAACCCTTTCCATACTGTAAATTCTTCTTCCGAGCCGAGGTAAGAAGACCTGGATGCTTCTAGGTGAAGATGTGTAGGTATTTGTACAGCAGCCCCTTAATTTGGTGTAGCGCGCGGATGGATTCATCAGTGAAGCAATAAGCTCTCGCTGTTGCTTTGCTGATTGCCATTTTGCATGGCAGTGTGTTCAGTGGCAGTAGCTGGGGTAACATTTGAAGTGGTACGCCTTTTAGAGAGCAGAGTAGGAATTGCAAAAATTACTGGGAAGGGAGAGAACAATGCAGAAATCAAGACGCCATATCCTTGTTTCCTCAGGAAATTAATTTGAAAAATCACATTTTAGTTGGTGTTGGTGGGAAAAACCAACCAACCAACCAACCAACCAACCAACATACCAAAAGAAAACCAAAAATCCACAAGATCCTGGGGGGTTTTATCGTTAAGATTTTCATACCTTTGGAGAAAGAGCAGTGCAGAGGTTAACTTTGTCCTCCCTGCCTCTGCAACCTCAGTCTGTAATTGAAACTAATGCTTTGGAGAAGTGGAGTCTTCCGTTTTGAAGGTACGAATTGGTTTTCAATTAAATATTTTTCTTTCTTTTCATAGAAAGCTGAAGTTTTGGCCACATCTGCTTCTGGTTTTCCCGGCTTTACTCCTCAGTCTATTCTCAGATCCAGCGTTCGCAGCACACCCCAGGCAACTCCCTCTGCGTTTCCAGGAGAATCAGTTACTCCTCCTCCCAGAGCAAACAAACACAGAGTGTCTTTCAAGGAAGGGAACTCAGATGAGAAATGGACTGTTGGGGTAAGCTGGGCTGTAGTTAGTGGATTTTACAGTCAAAGGCTTTCTAGTCTGTTATTTGGTTTAGAATTTTGGACAGTTTGCCAGAACTCCTTATATTGAGACCTGGACCTGCGATCAAGAATGGCAGGCTTGAATTTGGTCCAAAAAGGTTCCGCTAGACCTTCTGTAACATCACCCGTCGGCAGGCAGATATTCAAAATGCATGTCGGTGTCCTTGGCGGTTTCGCTCAAGCGTTGTTAGGAGCTGTGGTTGTTCCAAATTGCTAGCTCAGCTTCCCGCGATGCCTTTTCAAGCGGTGGTATGGCAGGAAGGTGAGGAATACAGCTCGAGCCATTGTTTGGGCTTGTTAAGGTTTGTGCATCTGAAAGCAGCAGAAGTCATGAGCTGCATTTACTTTTGATCTCTCTTTCTGCGAGGCTGAGTTTGCTTAACTTACGGTAAAAACAGACTCGGGATGAAGAGAGCTGGTCTGTCGCCTGTTCTCTAGCCCCAAAGTTCTGGGGTTTGCTTCTTGCCTCGCACCGGGCGTAGCATTCATACTGCTGTCAAACGAAGTTGGTCCACCTGCTAGTTGCCCCCTTCTACTCGGCCTTTGGTCCCGTCGGTTGGATTCCCTGACCCAGCTCGTTAGGCAGTTGCGGAAGGACCGTGCCAAGACCAGGGGCAGAACAGGGCCGTGTGCTCGTGTCTACATGTCGGAGCTCTCCGCAGGGTACAAACAAGTTGTCAGGATCTGGTTTTGTTACACCTCTTACTGCCTGTTGTAAGGGGTTCCTCAAAGGTAACAAGAGGCGTATCGGAATAAGGTTCTGCTGAGTGCCAGAACTGTTTTAACTGACAGTTGTCGGTTCTGTTACTGATCTAGTCTGCCTTCCACTTTGCTAAAATTACCGGGTGAAGTTGGCGTGTGCTGATGGGTAGAACTTGCTGCTGTTCTGTGCAGTGCACTCGCTGTAATTAGTTAACTGCTTTACGCTTTTTATTCATCAGAATGATCGCCATCCTCGCTTCAGAGAGGGGGCATGTGCCAGAAAGTCTGAATTACGCCCATATCGGAAGATCCTTCCTAGAGTTCAAAGGCAGCTGGCTGCAGAGAGAGCCAGGCCTTACCATTTGCCTTCGTCGGCCTTAAGAGGAGGTAATTTTTAGCGCGGGGAATACAGCGGTCAAGAAACGCTCACTTTGATAACACAAGGCTGATAGGTTTTCCCTTGTGCTTTACAGTTGCGAGACCAAAGCCAGTATCAAGAGCAAGAAAACCAGCCAATTCAGGATATCTGGATATCATAGCAACTTTCATGAGTAATGTGTTATCCAGAATTGGAGCAGCATGGGCAGGAAATGAGCAGAAAACCTTTTCCTCACGATATGATAGGTAAGCAGCCTTTTCACAAAGTTCAGTTTTGAGCTACGTGTGTGGAGAGGAATAGCGAAAAATCCATTTGGATTATGTTAGTATTCTGGAAGGAAGGTGTACCTGAATAAACTTTGATTGGCTTTTTTGTAATCAGTTCATCCAAAGTAATATTTGGAGAGAGACTTTTTCGGCTATGATAATCTTATTTAGGCCAAGACCTATACTGACACGATGGTAAATGTGTTTTCAAGAATTTAAGACAGCTGAAACTAGAACTGTGGTTGCCACCAAGCTCTCGGTGTACTGCTTTTGAGACACTTGGTTATGTGGCCAAACAGGGATCTTTGACCGCTTCCTGCCCAGTGTCTGCTTCGTTTCTGCCTTTCCTTCTTAACATCGGGCGGAATTGTAACGAGCGGAAAAGAGGCTGGTGGTTGTCAGATGATTTTCCTTCAGGGGCGATGGTCAAATAAACCTGAATTCCGGTATGTTTGGACTTCAGGGGAGTGAAAGTCAGTTACCTTTCCCTGTTTGTTCTAGTGCTAGAGCTGCAGAGCCACCAGCCGTACCTCGTCCTCTCCCTGAGGCAGAGTTGCAGTGTGGTTTTTGGGACACTAGGGACACAAATATCAGTATATGTTGGGGGGGTTTTTTGTCTTCCCTTTACAAAAACCACCTGCATGTTATTGACTGTGAGGTTTTGTTGGCTTTTTTTTTTGTATTTTAATAAAGGTAACCAACGATGATATAGCACTGCCTGGGGATTCATGGGAGCATCATCATGGAATGGCGGAGGATGCATCGTCTGAGACTAGAGATAAGGCAACTGTGCTTACTCTGAGCAATCCTGAGGAGGATCGTGCTGAAGTGGAAGCGTTTTCAAAAAGCATACCTGGAGATGGTTTGGAGAAAATGGATGTCAGCAAAGAAAACAGCAACTTCTCTGCCCGTTCAGACCAAACTACTTTGGAGTATCACGATGCAAAATCACCTGGCGGTTTTTCATCTGTTCCCATGTGCCGAATCGCAAATAGCTTAGCTGTTGATTTCTGGTGGCGAAAAAACAAGCTACAGGCAGCAGCCAGCCCGTGTTTTCTCATGAGTTGATAGGCAGTGCTTTTCACCTCTTAGTCTAGGCCAATCTGAAAATACTATGAAATTGTAGACTCTCAAGTAAGAAGGTAGCAGTTTTTTCTTATTTTGTTGGTACTTTTGTCTTCTGTGCAAAACTTGCAGGTTTCCAATCCAGGAATGCTTTTTTTTTTCTCGGCAAAGTAGTCCAGGTAACGAGTCTCTTGGATGTGCTTGGAGATAAATGTTCTGTGGTTCCTGTTGAATTCAAGCCGTTCCTAAAATAAAATGTGTTTTTCAAAGCCCTCTGCCGTGTGGATGACCAGTATGCGAGGGAGAGGGAAAAATGCAAGTTACAGTTACCGACGTGTCCGTTGGTTCAGGTCGCTTCCTCCTTGGCTGTGTATCCCCTGGCATAGTTTAAGAGCAGGCTTATCCCACAGCAGTCCTTGCTGTGGTGTGCCTTGCTGTTCAACTTGGCTTAAATGCAGACAAAAGCAGGAGCTATCGCTGGGTGACCGATCGCTTGCCTTTTGGTGCTACAACCGTATTTTCAGTACACAGAGAAGGGTGCAGGGAAGTAGTGTGTGATTTCTGTGAGCACCAACAGCACAAGCATATGTGGCCCTCAGAATCCAGGGCGCTGGAAGGCCTTTACGTTTCATCTAGCCTAGTGGTCTCGTAGTGGCTTCCGAAAGGGCGAGAACGGTATGCTCGTCTCAGCCGGATCCAACAGCTATGCAGGCCAGGTAAGATTTTACTCAAAGAACCAACTACAAGCAGTTGTAGCTAATACACGGTCGTAGACTGCTCATTTAGTTTATCTCCCATTATTAACGTTCATGTAAGCGTACTGCAGGTGACTGGCACGGGTCGGTTTACTGGTTGGAAGCCTTACCTAGCTTTTGCCTACGCTCCCGTCATCCCGGAACTCGGTATTACTTTCAAGCACGTTTGCAAATCTTGATTCAACCTGTTAGTGGGGGCACGCGTCCCGGGCAGCAGTGCTTGTGTATGCGTTTGCTTGCTCATCTGTGAAGAGGATGCACTCGATCGTTGTTTAGAGCGAGGTGTTGTGTGATCTGGCCCAAGGAGCGCTGGAGAACGCCTGGCAAGGTTATAACGCTGCTCTGCTGGCGTACGGGCAGGCCGGCTCGGGAAGAGCTGTTGGACGATCGGCTGCGCTGCAAACAGAGGCCCGGTGCCCGTTGTGTGCAAAGAGCTCTTCAAAGCCACCCAGCATTGGGAAAAGTACAAGCAGTGCCAGGTGGGATTAGCGCAAAGTGTCACTTCTTTCCAAGACCTTTCCAGGCGGTACTTTAAAAGGCTGGGTTACTCTCAAATCGGAAAAATGGGAACCGTGACTCTGGAGCAGCTTCCGGTACAAGACAGAGTGGATCCTCTAAAATACTGTGGGAAACAAAGTTGAGGTAGTACAGCTGGATTTACAGATGGGTATGCATGAGAAAGTCTTTCCAGCACCTCGGTAAGGAAAATTAATGCCGCCTTCTATACAGCTTCATAGGGTACAGAAGCTTTACAGTGCCGCGCCTCTCCGCTACAGCAGAGGCCAAGTTTTCAGCCATGCAGTACAGCTTTTGTAGCTGCTGGATGCTCCCACTCCATCAGCATCCTGCGCTGGTTGTCCAGCGGATTCGAGCACTGCTGGAAGCAGAAAGCTTCACGCCCGTGCAGCAGGGCCGTCTGTCTGTGAGAGTACTGCCCTGGTTACTGAGGGCTGCTTGCGATTTACTCCTGTGTTCCTTCCCCTTCAGAAAGTGCTTTGTCCTCCCAAACCAGCCTCCCCCGCTGTGTGCCAGCAGGAACGACGCAGGGATGCCGTTTGTGAACGTGTTTCTGTGGAAACTCATTCCTTCCCATCTCGCTTGCCGTACCAATGTGGAAATGAAATCCCTATCTGTAGTCGAGTGTTGGAGAATGGCTCAGAGACAAGGGTCCTGAGCCCACCGAGCAATTGTACGATCAGAGCCTGCTCTAGCTGCTGATGCTGGGCCTCACTAGGGTTTGCTTGCAGCTGCTCGCAGCTGCTGATACCTGAGGAATGTCAAGGACACTTCAGCCTTGTGTACCGTGGTGTGTCGAAAACAGGTTGAGAGGAATTAGGAATAGTGGTCTAAGAAACCTAGTGTTATGATAACGGTGGTCTGAGAAACATTGTGTTACGGTACTGTTGTGTATCGAAAACAAGTAAACAGGAATCAGAAATAGTAGCGTGAGAAACTTAGTGTTATGAGAAACTTGTGCTGTAAGCTAACTGCAAGTAGGTGGACCGTGAGAATACGACCCTTAGAGCTTAAGCCAATCAGCTAGTGACTAGTAGGCATAATTAGTAGAAGGATTATAAAAGGCTGTAATGAAAATCAATAAACTGAAGCACACTTTATCACTCATACTGAGTCGGCTACGTTCTTCCTCCTTGGCCTGAGTCCTCGGCTCGCCCAGCCCGGCAGTCGAGTTACTCCTATTACGCACAGTTCTTGGACAGAGGAAAAAAAGCATGTCGTGGCTCTTTATTTTTACGTTTGATTTTGAACCATAGCCTTGCTGCTACTGACTGACCAGATTTTGTTTTGAAGTCAGCAGATTGAGGCCTCCTCTCCGGCTTGTTGCGATTCAAGCTCGCGAGTGACACCGCGGGCGTGCTGTCACTCCGGGGGTTCCCACGCACGCCCTTCGTTTACAGAGCCCCAGGAGGTCAGCATGGCCTCAAGCCCAGCTATCTTCTGTGCCCCCACCCTGGGCTCCCTCCCTCACCGCTGGCTGAGACACCCGGTCTTCCCAGAGACGGGTTTTCCTCCTGCTCACTGGCTAGCCCACCCTCGAGTCTGCCAGCAGTTTAGTCCCCGCTGTACTAAAAAGATGTGGGCAGGCTGGAGAGGGTCCAGAAAAGGGCCACAAAGATGATCAAAGGACTGGGAAGCCTGCCAAGTGAGGAAGGGCCGAGAGAAGGGACTGACAAGTACAAATGCAAAATACCAAAGGTGTTAATTTTCAGATACATTCCTTGAGGATTTCAACGGGTGGCTTTAACTACTTGACCGGAATCGGGCGGGTTGGTCTTCCTCTGCTCGGTACTTTTACTGAAGGAAAGGGCGGTGACTGTGACTTCTCGGCAGTTTTCAGTCTTCTGCTGGACCTTTGCTTAAGTCCTCTTGCGTTTCTCTTCCAGGGAGCCATGGCCTGGCGTGGCAGGCGTGTGGTCCTCAACTCCAGGCGGTGAGCTCTGTGACAGGAGCGCGGCTCTCTGCGTACCGTTTCCAGGGAGCAAATAAACAGCCTCCCACTGTGCGTGTGGTAAAGGAGTTTTCCTGGCAGAAGAGAACTGGGCTGCTGGTTGGCTTGGAAGAAGCAGAGGGAAGCGTTCTCTGTCTGTACGACCTGTGGATTTGTGGTCAGTCCAGAAAGTTCTGCAGCGTGACGATTGCTGCCGGTCGTGTGTGCAGCTTGTGTTGTGAAACTGCTCACGTTGTTCACGGGTGGTGGCAAATCGTTATCCAGGAACAGAAAGAGCAGAAATGGAGCGTGTCATTGCATAAATGGAATAGTCTGTTCTCTGTCCCTTAAACGCATGAACTGTTATCTGTGGCAGGGAGTAGATTGTATGTTTCCCACTTTACACGTGGTGGTGGTCTGAAAGGAAAAGCAGCATTTCACTGTCCTCAGTTTCACGAAGCTCAGCTTGAAGTTAGTCTGTCTGGTAATTAAGAATGCATTAACAGACATTTTTTACCTTCAGGTTATTGAAGATAGTGTGGGTACGGCAGAAACCTCAGAAGCAGCTCCTGAAACATCGCCGTGTAGTGAGCTCCATCCACCAGGCAATCTTCAACACAGCTGTGCTGCTTCAGAGCAACAGATTGAACGTGAATTGCCAGCTAGTGACGATGGTGAATGTGATGCAGCTGAGGGACACCGAGAGCTCTTTATATCTCAGAGTCATTTTCAGAGCTTCAAAAACCTGGGAAACTGTTTTGTGAAACTGCTTAACAGCCTTCTCCTCACGTATCTTTTTCTGTTTTACTGATCACTTCTGAAATCAAACCCGAAAGTTTGCCCTGTCACTTCAAGGCTCTTAGAACAAGTTAACCTTGAGACTCAGTGAGTGCTGGGACATGTTCTTTTTTCAGTAACATAGGAACGAATCGGTAAAGCTGAACTTGTCTTCCATTCCACTAGACGAGCAGCTATCTGTTCATATCATACTGACGTGCTAAATACATCTTTTCAGGGTTTAAGAAGCGGTTAACAACCACGCAGCCGCTCGGCCTCCCTCCCCCACCTGGGAATGGGGGAGGGAATTGGAGGGGCAAAGGGAGACTTGCAGGTTGAGATAGAAACAGTTTACTAATGGTAATAAAATAAAACGGTGACAGTAATAGAAATTAGAAACGGGCAATGCACCGTGCAGTTGCTCACCACCCGCTGACCGACACCCAGCCCGTTCCCGGCTAGCGATCCCGAAATACTAAGACCCCGCGATTGCAATCCCGGAAGCGAGAGAGAGCCCCTTCCCGCCCACCCCTCCTTTACATAGCGAGCGTGATGTTACATGACGTGGAATAGCCCGTTGGCCAGTCCGGGCCCGGTGCTTCAGCCGTGTCCCATCCCTGCTTCTTTTGTGCCTGCGCAAAGGCAGGACATAGGGATTTGGAGAGTCCTTGAAAGCTCAGTGTGCTGGCAGCATTCTTCTCGCTCCCGAAAAGGAACATGAACTCAATTCCAGCCCGAACCAGGACAAAGGTCACTAGATTCCAGAAGGCAAAGGCTCCCTTAATCACCTGTGACGGGAGTGGAAGATGAAACCAGGAGGCATCAAGTAGAGTATGGCATCACTGCTAGAACACACACAAGGGGACAACTGAGTGGAAGTCCAGGCATTCCCTCGGAAGGCACTCATCAACTGCTGCAGACAGACAGACCGGTTCTGTTTGAATGTCTCCTGGGAGAAGTACCAAGCGAACAAAAGGAGCACCTGAGACTTGTAGACTTGAAACGGGAGGAAATACTCGAGATGAGCAAATACCTGTGATGCCTGTTCCTCCTAGGAGAGGTAGGAAGCCTAAACTGACTAATTCAGAAAAAGTAGAAAGCAGCCATTCTGATGGACAAGCGTTGTCCGTCAGCAGGCTGCCCATAGCTGTTACTCCAAGAGGAGGATTAAGGAGAGCAGAGGAAGCTGCTTCTGAAGTCTCGCAAGAGGCTAGCGAGGAAAGTTCTCCTGCTGAAGGTAGCATTATTGCTTCTGCTCCTTCCAAAAGGACTAGAGGAAGAAAAAGTTGAGCAGG